ACTTGGCGAAGCCCCAAATACACTCGGCAAAGACTTTGCCAAGTATAACACTCGGCGACTAGCACTCGACGAATTTTCCACCGGCAAACAGATGTTTGCCGAGTGTCAAATATCGGGCACTCGGCAAAGGGTTTGCCGAGTGTCAAAAAACACTCGGCGAAGTTAAACCCTCGGGCGAAAAGGGGGTTAACGGCGTCCACGGTAACGGAGAGTTTGCCGAGTGTCAGACGGAAGACACTCGGCAAACATCTTCAACTTTTCCGAGTGCCAAGCCTCCGACACTCGGCAAAGAGGGGTCACCCCGCACCATTTTACTACGTTTTTGTCGAGTATTAAAGCCAATACACTCGGCAAACATCTACGTTTTTGCCGAGTGTTTTGAATTTAACACTCGGCAAACATTGCACACTCGGTAAAAAAATTGCCAGAAAAACAGAAACTGGCCTATTTGCCGAGTGTTAAAGCCAAAACACTCAGCAAAGGACCTCTTTGCCGAGTGTTACACTCGGCAAACTGTCCAAAAACCCCATATTTTTACTGTTTTGTTACGTATAAAGGACCCCTCTCCAACAAAAATCACAGGCATGTATATTACATCACATGCATATATTAAGCATCACAGGCACACAAATAAGTTCTTGTTTATTCGAGAAAGTAATCCACAAGTTCTAGTTTAAACAAGTAATGCACAAATAATCCACAAGTCACTGAGGAGGAGGCCCTTGGAACCACTGCGACTGATCCGGGTCTTGTGGTTGAGTATTCGAAGCCGCCGATTGATTCTGCACATAGGAGAGACATGTGTGAGACAATATTGATATCATTTGAGCTAACTAAGGGACTTGTCTAAGTTAAAGTATTCAATCTAATGTGTCAAGTGACTCACATGAGTAGTTGTGGGTGGCTGACGTGAAGGGAATAGCATCAGTGGCGGTGGCAAAGATTGACCCATGCTCGAAGCAAAATTCTGTATGTATTGGAACATCTGGTCCATCCTCATCTGATTTTCTTCCTCCATCCTCTGTCGCTCGGCCTCTAACCACTCCGCCCTCGCCTCCATCTCCTCCCGTTGCTTCTTTTCTGCTTCCACCTGGGCCTAAAATATTTCATCGCAATGTTACAATGCAAAGCAGTGCAAAGCTAAAGTATGTAAGAACGAACGAATGATGAATGGAAGAGAAAGAACCTAGAGTGCCTCTATCTGGAAGTGTGCAGTGGTCGGCCATGGGCGTATTGCTGGGCTCGAGTCCGTGCTCCTTGCTCGGATTTGGGAGAGAGTGGGAGTAGAGGCCGTGTCGATTACGCTGTCGCTAATCCAATACCGACCATGCTTCTTGCCTCCTCCCACCCTCATCATGATTTCTCCGTCAATATCCTAGGAGCTCGGATCGAACTCTGGCCCGTGAACCTCCCTTGCCATCGCTGTATACTGGGTGACGCGGCTGTGGATGCTTGGATGGCTGTACGCCTCAGGCGGGTCCTCCGGGTTGAAGTCGATGTCGGCAGTCGCCTTGCCCTTTTTGGATAGAACCCATGCCTTGAGCTAGGAGCAAGGCTGGCCATCATGTGACGATGACTACGGCAAAAATGCAAAATGATTAGAAATTATGCAGAATTGAGCGTTAGAATAAAGAAATGAAGTTGCTTACCCATTTTTCCCTATATTCATCAAGGCTCAGGCTGCCTTGATGGTGTGATGCACCTAGCATCTGCAAACGCCGCTCCCGGCAAGCAAGGTGGTGCTCCAACCACTCGGGCTGCAACCACTCATCCACCATCTTTTCCCAGCACCGGATATGCGCTCGGCACCACCACGGATGCACCTACATCATCAAGCATGTGACTTATGAAAAAAGAAACTAAGCGTAATTAATCTCAAATAAAGTAAGTATCAACGTTCTTTGCTTACACTCATGAATTGGTCCTTGGTCAGGTTCATTGTCCTTGCCTCCTGTTTTTTAACCTTCATGGTTCTGTATTGAGCGTAGAACTCGATGATGGCCTGGACGCGCGCCTCGGAGTGCATGTCCTTCATGAGCTTCTAGGCGGCTTGTTTAGAGACGGACTTCGCCTTGGCCTCGAATCCCTCCTGGCATCTGTAGAAGTCCTGCATATAGAGGCGATGTATAAAGTTATTATTTCAAGAATGTCCAGTGAACGTGATGTATTGAGCAATGTAGTGCGAGGAATACTTACCCACAGCTCGCCCTTCACCCGCTCCGCTATGTTGGTGAATCTCCTGCGATCACGATCAGGGACGTCGGGGGCGGCGACATAGTGGTCCCACATGTAGGCCGGCTGCTGCTGTCTGGCGTACGCCACCAAGCTAGGGAAGTGTTCCCCGCACAAAAGGCCAAGGATGCCGTTGACCTTGTGGTTGTGATCACCCCCACTGAGCTTAATCCAACTCCTGCACAAGTGATTAATATAAATTATTAGTTTCTTTTGTAATTTTCAACATATCAAAATTATTGCGAATATTTAAAGTTACTTACTTACCTAGTCCTTGTCGGTTTAATCAGCGGGCGTCTATGCTCAGGTATCGGACGCCTCGGGAGGGACGAGGGACCTCGCAACCAGATCTTGGACTAGGCATCCCCTGCCTCCTCCCCCTCCCCCTCCTGCTCCTGCTCCTGCTCCTGCTCCTCCTCCTCCTCCTCCTCACCAGAGGCGTGTGCGGAAGGTACCTCCTCCTCCTCAGACGTCGGGGGGTCAGGTTTAGGCGACGGGGGCCTCGCCCTACCCTTCCCTTGACCCCTCTGCCTCTACCTCTGCTCCTGCTCCTGCCCCTCCTCAGCAGGAATGTCGATATAATCATGCCCGTGCTCCGAAGGAGGAATGCCATCATCACTGTCATTGCCTAATTGTAATCGCTGAAGTAGTTCTAAGTCCTTCACATTCTGAACCTTGTCTCTAGCGTCCTCATCAGCAACCCCTTCATTATCTACTTCCATTCTGATCGCTTTGGTTAAATCTATTTGAAAGGACCTAGGATGCCGCATAGAGGGGGGTGAATAGGCGTTTCTAAAAAATAACACCTTTTGATGCGAAAATAATTAGTAAAGGGAGTTTCCAAAATGGAAACTCCAAATAAGAGTAATACCACCCCTCACAAGTTAGCCGCAGAGTATGTAAAAGATACTAAATAAATCTAGGAGCCACAATCCTGCATCACAACGATTAGTGCAAGGATCAAATAAATTCAGAACTGAGCTCTAGTACCGGACGTGTCCGGTAGGTATACCGGACGTGTCCGGTATGAAGGTGTTCTGCAGAACAGCCTGGCACAGTGATCAATACCGGACGTGTCCGGTATACACGATTTCTGTAGAGCAACCCCAAACTTGCTCCTTTCGATTTCTATCTTCAAACCAGACTGTAGGTACCTACTAGAGATGGCAGTAAATACAGAGAACCTGCACAAGAGCTAGAGCAATACAAATATCGAATGAAATGCGAATTGAGACATGATATTTGTTTTACCAAAGTTCGGACTCGTTCGAGTCCTACTCTCCGTTGAGGGGGCTGCGGGCGACCCAGCGAAGGTCAGCCCTAGAGGTTACCACGAAGGTCACTCTAGCCGGAGTCTTTTCCAACTCCTTTTCCTCCTTCCACTAGTTGATTCTGAGGCAGCGGAATCGACCGTTACAAACTTTTCGAGGCACACCACAATCTCTCGGGTGCTCTTTGGCGACGCCTAACTGTCTAGGACCGAAGAGTCCAAGAGTAACAAATGCGAATCACGAGATTGACAATATGCACAAGTGCTCAAGTGGTTGGATTTTCTCTCCTTTTGAATTTCACTCAACCCACAATTTGATTTGGCAAATTTGATCAATCACTCACTAAGAGAGGGTTGGGAGAGTTGGCAAGGCTAAAAAACATATGTGTGTATCAGCAGAATCAACAGCCTCTAAAGGTGGAGGCTTGGGGGTATTTATAACCCCCTTGAAAAACTAGCCGTTGCTATACCGAACACGTCCGGTATGCATACCGAACACATCCGGTATGACTTACACTGCCCCAACGGTAACTAAGTTACAGTGACAATGTGAGGCGTCGGAACTCCCGATGAATGCCGGAACTCCCGACCGTCGGAACTCTCGACACGCGTCAGAACTCCCGACCCTTAGCAAATTTGAAAACCATGTAACTGAGTTAAAGTAGTGTGAGGTGTCGGAACTCCCGACTCACGTCGGAACTCCCGACCCTCAAGGCTTTTGAAAACTAGCCGTTGGCCTCTGGTTGTGCATACCGGACAGTCCGGTATGAATACCGGACACGTCTGGTATGACCAGGACAGTGAACCCTCCAAGTCAGTTAAAGTGCGAGACGTCGGAACTCCCGACCCTTGCCAGAACTCCCGACCATTGGAACTCCCAACTTACGTCAGAACTCCCGACAAACCAACCCGAGAACAACAATTTTACCACTGCTGGGTAAATACCGGACACGTCCATTGTTTTAATGGCGTCGCCTAGGCATCGCCTAGGCGATGACTAGGCGTCCAGGCGATGAAAATGTCTGGGCATCGAGGGTCGCCTAGCCAGGAGCTGTATGGCGTCCGCCTCGGCGTCTAAGGCGTCCGCCTTTTGCGTTAGGCGTCTGGGGCGTCGCCAACCGGCCTGAGGCGGTCGCCATACTCGTGAGCAGCCGCGCGCGGAAAAGGGAAGGGACCCAAGGTGGGAAATCGCTCCCGCGCGGGACTTCTCCCGCCTTTCATCATTTCCTACGCGCGCGCATAGAGGAAATTGCGTGGGAATAGAGAGGGATTGTGAGAGATAGGGGATTGAGAAGAGAGAGGGAGAGGCAGACCCTGCTGGAGTTTCTTCCCCACTCATGGCCAGGTCCCGCTCATCCTCTCGCGTGCGTCTGCTCAGAGCCGCGAGTCCTCCCGCGCGCGTCCGCTTGCCCGTCTTCCGCTTCCTCTGTGCGGACCCGTGCGTCCGTCCGCATGAACCAGGAGGGCCAGGACGACCAGCTTCTTCTGCGGACCCAGGATGGCTTCACTGGTGCCCAGCTCCGCTCAGCCTTCAGGCCAGCCCTCCACTGGACCAGGTATCCCTCGCCTCCTCTCTCTCTCTCTCTGTTTCTCTTAAAAAGGTCCAAAGCTTGCATGTGGCGTGTGCTGCTATCCCCTGCTTTGTTTGTTTTTTTCTCTTAAAAAGGTCCAAAGCTTGCATGTGGCATGTGCTATTGTCCCCTGCTTTGTTTGCTTTTAGAAAGGCTGAAGCTTGCATGCGGCTGTCCCCTGCTCAGAGCAGATAGCACATGGGTATAGTTGTTGCTTTGTCTACTTGTGCTTTGATTTATAGATGCTAAATGGAGCAGTACATTAGTTGTTGTTGCTCTGTTTTATATGCTAATTGCACTGCCTTTTATGCTAATTTGATTTGTTTATTAGGCTAGAGGGTGCTCTTGCTCTGTGCTCTATTTTAGCTGCTGCTGCTCTGTTTTAGCTGCTGCTGCTGCTCTGTTTATTAGGCTGGAGGGTGCTCTTTTATGCTATATGCTAATTGCACTGCCTTTTATGCTAATTAAATTGGTAGTTTTCTGATTCCTATACTATGCCATTCTCTGAAGTCTGAACTCATTTGGTTTATAAAAATTATGCAGCAGGAACCATGTCAAGTCCACCATCAATCGTCAGCGGATATGATCCCAAGAATGATCTAGCCCGGAAGCCGCAAAGGTCAAAAGATCCAGCATGGAGGTTTGGCTATTAGCCGAACCTACAAAACAGAGATGAGGTGGCATGCACCTTATGTGGCAGCTCAGTTCGTGGAGGGATTAAAAGGTTGAAGCAACATTTGGCAGGAGGTTATGGAGATGCAAAACTATGTTCAGGTGTCAGCACTGAAGTTAGGAGGGAGATGGCAGCTTACTTGGATGCAAACAAGTGGAAAAGACCATTGGTTCTAGATGATGAGGTGGTGGAGGTGGCAGCAAATGAGGCTCCTGCAAATGAGGCTGCTGCTGCGGTACAGCCTAGTTCAGGGATAGCAGCAAAAAAGAGGCAAGCATCCTTACAATTCATGGTTGTTGGCAACAAGACTAAACCGGAGGGAAAGGCAAACAAATCTGTAGTTGAGATGCTTCGAAAAACACCATAAGAGATAGTAGATGAGAGACTTTCAGGGTCTTATCAGCCCACAATTGTGTCCAGTACAAAAACCAAGGAAGAGAAGCATTATGTGGATACACAATGGGCCTTGTTCTTCTATGAATGTGGCATACCTTTTAATGCAGCAGTAGCAAGGCAATTTCAGATTGCAGTTGAGGCCACAGCACAATATGGTTCAGGGTACAAGCCTCCAACACCATATCAACTTGGGGATCCATTACTTCAAGAAGCAGTGAAGTCAACAAGTACCATGAGAGAGGAGCATGAGAGAGCATGGAAACATTATGGCTGCACACTCATGTCTGATGGATGGTCTGATAGGAGGGGACGCCACTTAATTAACTTCCTTGTAAATAGCCCAGAGGGGACTTACTTCTTGGAGTCCATTGATGCATCAAGTGAAGTACATGATGCATACATGCTTGCTGGTTTGCTAGAGAAGAAGGTTGAGGAGATTGGTAAGGACAAGGTTGTTCAAGTTGTCACAGATAATGGTGCTAACTTCAAGGCTGCAGGCAAGATTCTCATGGACAGGATTCCTACAATATTTTGGAGTCCATGTGCTGCGCATTGCTTGGATCTCATGTTAGAAGATATAGGGAACTTGTCGGAATTCAAGAAACCTATTACACGTGCAAGGCGTGTGACAACTTTTATCTATAGACATGGGAGGATCCTTAGTGCCATGAGGGAGAAAACAGGTGGGGCTGACCTTGTGAGGCCAGCAGCCACACGTTTTGCAATGGCTTTTTTGACTTTGAAGAGCTTGTACAAGCACAAGGATGCTTTGAAGTCTTTAATGGTTAGCGAAGCATGGACTGGGAACAAATTGGCAAAAACTAAGGCTGGTCTAGATGTGCATGACATTGTGCTCTCTACACAGTTTTGGAATTCAGTGGAAGATTGCCTTAGAGCTTCAGCCCCACTCCTTATTGTGTTTAGGGTGGTTGATGGAGATGAGAAGCCAGCAATGCCAGAGGTTCAAGCTCTAATGAACCTTGCAAAGGAGAGGATCAATCAAAGCTTTGCTATCCAATCCAAGAAATCTTTGCTCAAGAAGATTATGGGAATAATTGAGCGACATTGGGAGAAACAAATGGATCATCCATTGTATGGGGCTGCACTATACTTGAACCCAGGGAAGCTACATCCTCTCCTAAAAAAGGATGATGATGCAACTGTTGGATAGCTAAGAGGTTGCTTTCTTGATGTGCTTTCAAGAATGGTGGAGGATGGGGAAACTAGAAGCAAGATCAATGCTCAAGCCATGGATTATGAATATCTTAGAGGAGATGCTTTTTCAAATAAGATGGCCATTCAAAACCTTGAGTCAATGAGTCCTCGTAAGTGTTTCATTTCCATTTTAATTTCAGCAAGTGTACATCACATCAATTTGATTCCAGCTAGCATTTTTTGGTCCTAGCTCCTAACATATTGTTTCATTTGTTTGCTCTAGTTGATTGGTGGCGTTCCTATGGTGGCCGTGCTATTGAGCTACAAAGGTTTGCAAGGCGTGTGGTTAGTCTTTGTGCTTCATCATCTGGCTGTGAGCGAAATTGGAGCAAATTTGAATCTGTGAGTATTTCCTCATTTGCTTGCTGCCCTTACCAATATTTCAGCAAGCAGTTTATTCATCTTTTGGTTGCAATTGTGTTTCTGGTTTTGTAGATCCACACAAAGAAAAGGAACCGATTGTTGCATAAGAGGCTGAATTCTATTGTCTTTGTTTCCTACAACCGGAAGATGAAATCTAGGTTCCAAAAGTTATGCCAGAACCAGGGAAAAAACTTTGATCCTTTGGTTATTGAGGACTTTGATTGGAACAATGAGTGGGCTGACTCATTGCATGTACCCCCTCAAGGTACTCGTGGGTGTGACTGTGACCTTACTTGGAACCTTGTTGATGAAGCTGTTGGAGCATCACAATCACTTCAAGGCTGGAACTTTCCAAGAGTAGCCCACAGGCGTGCAAGAAATTCTGCACCTATGGTGGATGAAGCTGAGTTGGGTTCAGATAATGAAGAAAATCCAGATCCATTTGATGATGCAGATGTGACAGATTGTGAGGATGATCCAAATGATGCCAATGAAATTGGAGAAGACAATGAGGCAGCCAACGTTGCTGGAGAGTTTGATGATGGCTATTGAGACTTGAGAGATTAGAGATTAAAGATTTCCTCTTTTTAAGCTAATATATGTGCTGCACTAGCAGCACTACTAATTAAGTATGTGCTGCACTAGCAGCACTACTAATTAACTTATATATGCCATTAGAGACTAGTTTATGGCTACTAAGAGATGAAACATTTCATATTTGCTACTTGCTACTTTATGTGGTGCCCTAGAACTCTAATAGCACTACATATTATGCTTATAATTGGCTATATTAAGGTTGGATTGTCATCTAAATTTTTATTGGTGTTATATATTAAATTGTCTATATGGCGTCGCCTAGGCGAGCGCCTTATTTGCCTAGGCGACTAGAAGGGGGTCGCTCGCCTCGCCTCGCCTTACCGCCTTTAAAACATTGGACACGTCCGGTATCAATACCCAGACCAGCAAAAATAAAGTTAGCTCTTTTGTCGCTCAAATACTCAAAACTCACATGGGTTGGCTTGAGCACTTATGAAACATTATCTATCAACATGATGCATCCCTCTTTATAGTATGACATTCCTATTAACTCAAATTCAAATGTATAATGAATTAAACCTTTTGAGTTGTTCTCTTTCAACCGAAGCCGTGTATTCCAATCTTCATAAAGTGAGTGTGCTAACATGTCAACTTTGATCCTTTTCACTTGAGCATAGTCATCTTGAGCACGTGACTTGATTCCATTCATCAAATTTGAATAATCCCAAATGTATCAAGTCACTTCCATCAAACACTCCAATAATGATTTGATCCTCCACATAAACATGACCATCATAGCTTGATTAGTACCTCAACTAAATGCAAGTACTTCCTTCTTCACCCTAGCTAGGTTCTTCGGCCGCCAAGCCGTCGCTTGCCCTTCACCCTTGCTTAGTACCTCAAAGCCTTTCCTTGCTATCTTCATCATCTCAAGCCATCAAGTCACATCTTGTGTTGAATCATCCATTCATGCATTGTTATCTTTTTCATTTCAATTTAGCAAGCTTCAAATATGAGATCATTCCATATGCAATCCCTTATGTCTCATTAATTAATTCTTACAAGCTTGATTTCACATAGTATATGGAAATCCCACAATAAATAAACCTTTGCATGAATTCCATTTGCATTGTTGTCTTATGCTTGAACTAGATTGTTTATACAACAACACATCATTTTGGCTTTCATTAAGTACCTGTGAGATAACCTATTACCTATCCACACTTAGCAAACGGGTTAGACCTTTAATCACGTTATCATTCAATCATCCAAAACCCTCTAAAGGGCTAGATGCACTTTCAATCTACCCCTTTTTGGTGATTGATGACAACTTGATTAAAACTTACAAAAGAATATAAACATTTAAGCTTTTGGGTTCAATGATTTATGAGAGGCTCCCCCTTAATATGTGCTTATGATTAGAATTCATAAAATGACCTCAAATGTCAATTGCACATACTAAAACATATAGGAGACTCCCCCTAAATCATTGCATCCGTGGGGTGCATGTGTGTGTGACAAAGTAAAACCGTGATGCATATGACAAGATATGTCACACAAGAATAAATATAAATGCATCACAACAAATATTTTCATTCTAGCATGCATAGTCCTTATGAAAATAAATACAACACATGCAACTCACACATAGCACTCATTACACATTTTCTCAAGTCCACAAGCCACTGATAATAAAGATCATGTCTCAATAGATACATAGATAAAGCATAAGTATGAGTCTCATCTCTCACATGATACAATGCAAACTCAAACTCAAGATACATCAATGAAGCTCAAAAACAAAAACTACAGCCTGCAGTACATATCATCAGGTACAAAGATAAGCAAATGAAACAAAAATCCTGAAGCTTTAATTAGTCTCTCTCCCCCTTTGTCATCTATCACCACAAAGGTGCAACATGACATACTAAGAACAAAGGGGCTACAAGCTGTCTCTGAAAGCTGTGATCACTCATCATCATCTTCATCTCTACCAGCATCCTCATCATCAGAACATGTAGCATCGGCTGGACGAGAACCACCAGCACCAGATGGGTGATAACCACCAGACCCGTAGTAGCCGCCACCACCTATGAGGTCACTTCACCAGTCTAAAGCATAGTCGTCTGTAGTACTAGGACGTGGCTGAGAGTGAGTAGGCACACGAGCCTGTAGTGGTAGAGTATTAGGGTGCTCTGGTGCCTGCTGTTGCTGTCGCTGAAGGAACTCAGCATACTCTCTATCGTACCTGGCCTGCAGCTGCTCCTTAGTCTCAGGCTCACTAGCGGCCTCATATGATAGTGGAGACCTAGGAGGAACAAGCTCAAGTCTAGAAGCAATCTGCTTCAAAGTTCGAGTATCCTTCCTCCTAGCCTCCCTCTCCTGCTGCTGACAGGTCCATATGTCCTTGCACATCCCAAAGATAGCACTGAACATCTTGCGAATAGGGGACGGAGGACTGTGGCGATGTGAAGAAGAACATGAAGGAGCATGTGGTAGAGGGGAAGCTCGTCCTGCTGCTGCACCACCAACAGGTGCGTCAGCCTCTGGTGCTGCTGCTGCTCCTCCTAGTCCTGCTGGAGGTACCCCAACCTCAGGCAAATCTGCAACAATCTTCAGGGCCTTATGTACCTTGTCATACTCAAATGTATGCCCTATGACCTGCTCAATCATGTGCATGATGTAGGGAGCAAAACCACAGCCCTTGAGGGGCCTCTCTCCCACACTCCTGATCTCAGACCAAATAAAGTCAAACACACTGAATGGCTGAGCATCAGGTGCCATCCTGTGGAGCAGGTTCCTGGAATAATCTACAATGTTGCCCTTGTCTCCACCCTTGCAGTCAATAGTCTTCCTGAACATCCTGTCCAGGTATCTGTAAGTAGGGTGAAGACCTAGAACCTTCCCTACTGCTCCTCTCTCACCCCCTGGTGGGTACATGTAGGCAAGCTGCTCTAGAGGCAACACCTGCTCTGTGTGGATTCTATCTTTCTGAAGATCATCATCTGAGAAGCCAAGCAAAGCTACAAAAGCATCATAATCAACACTATACCACTGGCCCTTTAGCATCCAGTGCATACACCTCTCATCCTCCTCAACATACAGGGTGGCGTAGAACTGAGCTACCACCTCTATGTTCTAGTCATGCTGGAACTCCATGATCTCATATACCCCTGTATGCTCACAGATAGCAATAGCATGATCAATGGAGGCCTTCTGCAGATCTCTGATGTACTGCCAGTCAATCCACTAAGACCTGGCAATCATTGGGTTCCTGGTGAGAATCACACTAGAGTAGAAGTCCATGTGAAAGGCTGTCTAGAAACGGTGATCAAACTGAACCTTAGGTAAGCCTCTTGGATCTACTCTTCGCTCATCTCTAGCTTTCCTGGTCATGCCCTTTCCCCTGTAGTCAATTCTGGAAACATAAGAGGGCACATTGGGTAGACGTGTCTCAAGGAGACCATAATGCATACCCTGACCAGGCTGGTGCTGAACTGGAGGTACTGGCTCTTCCTCAATCTCCTGTTCCTCATCTGAGCTGTCATCATCTGATCCTCTGTCAGTGCTCTTCCTCTTTTTATCTTCTCTAGGCTCCACTCTGAACTCATCAGAGTCAGTGTCTGAAGAAGAGCTCCTTGACCCCTCAGCATACTAGGGTGCTGCACTAGAGGCAGCTCTAGTAGACCTTCTGCTGGTCGGCACGAATCCAGGATGCATTTCCTGCCTTGCCTTCTTGTATTTCTCCAAAGCTGGATCATGCCTATGCTTGGATCTGGGCTCCTGTCTCCCACTCATAGCTGCTGCCCTGTATCCAAAAGATTTCCAAAGAATTTTAGATACATGCCCATTGCTTCATCTCAAATTGTAATTAGACATAGATTCTTTTATCCATGGTTTTACAATCACCTCGACATACCATTGTCACTAGGTTTGCAAAACGTAGATACAAAAGAAACTAAGCCTAATATACAATTCTAAGCACGGATTGAATCAAAAGGGAGCAGAGGGTCTGCTCTGCTGGGCCATACCGGACATGTCCGATATGCACGCCCAGCAACCCTAACCAGGGCTCCTTGATTCAAACCATCATGGATCAATTCCAAACTTTAGGCATTGCTTCTATATCACCAATGCAGCATATTGACCGAAGAAATTTCAAAACCAAGCATTAACCAAGTAGATCGGACGAGGTCCGCGATTAGGGTACCTTGAGAGAAGAGATGAGAAGGCGATGTGAAATCCAGATCCCCGGACCTTCAACCTTGATGCAAGCCTTCTCCAATGCAATCTCCCTCTCTCTCTCTTCTTGGTGAAATCCTCGGTCGCCCTAGGTGAGGAGGAAGACGTCGGCTGGGTCAGTTGGAAAGAGACAAATCTGTTTTGGCCGAAGGGGTACGTTCTGTTTTATAGCCCCGCTCATACCGGACACGTCCGATATACACGGGCTGGCCCAAAATGTTTCAACGGATATTTTCTCTCTTCCAATCCCTTTCTCTGTTATTTCTTGATCTAAAAACATGTATGTCCTTGATCCAAATAAGGTGTAAATACATTTCTTATCCAAATGCCATGAGTGTCACTTCTCTTTTCCAAATATTTGGCATATATAGATTTTGATCACTTGAGAGAGATATTGTGAGACATAGTAGATTGTGGACTTAAGAAAGCCATGTCATGTGTGATTAGCCAATCAAACAATCAAGGAGAGCTATAATCATCACATGACAAGGCTAGGTCACAAAGACCAAGATTCAAATAGTTTTTCAAATTCACAGCACCTACACATGCTAGTTATGGGTTTTGAAAAACATCTCTCCTATGTCACACAAATGCACATTCTAACATATAAAGGGCCTTAGATGCACTTACAATGTATGTATGTAAACACATACCTTTGCCTTGAGCCCACAAGAATACCACTAAGAAGATACATGACATGATAATATTTATGTTGACCTTGATTGCCAAATAATCATGCTAGATACATATTCATTCAAAGGACTACAAAGAAT